AAATATACTTATTTAAAAATGAGGTATTTAATCGCAAAATTATTGTTGGTCGGTCATTTTTGCTAGGTGAGTGTACAACAATAAAGATATTCATCACCGTACAAGATAATGAATAGAGCCTATCATGATGCTTTCCATGACTAGGGATGGGCGTTAATTAACCTGGTTAATTAACCGTTAATAACCAAAGGATTAACCAAAAGATAATTAACCAAAGGATATTTTTAGTTGACCAATCAAAACTAACCGGTTAATTGACCAAATCTTAATTAACCGTTAATTTCCCATTCCTATTCATGACGTAGATCATTGCAATATAACGTGATGTCGTGATGTGAGTTGAAAAATCATATTTTCTGATCTAAACACCTTTATACCAAACGTAACAAAAGAAATGTGGAAATTTACAAGTTTTTTCTTATATTATTTAGTCGCGATATTCACATTAGGACAAACATCTCTTGCTATTGACGCGTTTAACTGTTCCGATGTAGAGGTCGATGGTATAAAATTTGACCTTTCAAATCTCAAGTTAAGTTTTACGTTGTTTTCATTGTGCTGTAAGAGTTAAATCAAGTTCTCTTGCACTTTCTTTTTAATTAAATCTTCAGTTTATTAGAAATATCTGTTATTAAATTGTTTCCTATTCAATATAGGTTACAGAACATTACAAAAGAGGAACAAACGCCTCCGACTATTACGATCACTAGTTCTTTAATAAATCTTTGTGAACCTTTACCCATTGATAAAAAAAATGAAACTTGTCCAGATGGTACATATGTTTGTCAAATCATAACTAACAAATTATCCAAAGAAGACAAATCTCCACGAGTCATAACGATTCGACCAATTGCCGGAGATTTAAATGATGAAGGAATATTTAAACCTGTAATAGCTTTAGAACCTGCTTCGAATAAAGATGATACATCTGGTAAATCGATATGTAATTTTAAAAAGCTTATTATGACATTTATTTAAATTCATTCTTTGTTAGGTCCTCTCTTAATTACATTGAATGGAGGTTCTTATGCTGAACAAAAACAACAAGCAAATTTTACATTTATTTGTAATACTGAAGTGAGTAATAATTATAATAAATAATATTAATAATAATACTAATTATAATTGAAATCATTGAATGCATTTTCAAATCAAATTCAATAATTTCAGAAAGACAATATTACAACAGTAGAATATAATAACGAGGAGAATACATTAATTATAAGATGGGAAACTCCTGCTGCTTGCGGGTAAGTTATGATAATAAAATAACACATAAAGTTGGTTTTTTTTCTAAAAAAAAAATAAAGTTTACATTCAATTTTAGACAAAAAATTCTTGAAGATAAAGGAATGAGCTGGTTTACTAAGTTTATAATCTTGTAAGTGAATTCTTGATGGTTCTTTTTAAATTGGAAAAAGAAGATTAACAGTTTCTAATTTATCAGCTTAATCATTATTGCCTTGTGCTATTTTGGTTTTGGAGCTGCTTATAATTACCATGTTTATAAGGCACATGGTTGGGATTTATTACCGCATTTGTGAGTTTTTTACTCTAAAGTTTTATTATTTGTTTAATTAAATCGACTAACTACCTTAAAATAATGATTTAGGGACTTTTGGAGAGATTTTCCTTATTTAATATCGGTAAGTTAGATACTTTTTTTGTTTTTTTTTTGCTTTTTTTTTTAAAAAAAAAAACAAGTAAAAGAGAAAGAATATTTATTTGAATAATTAATTATATTGTAATCAATTATATAGTTTGTATAATTAGTAACTTATTTTTATTTTTCAAACGCAGGATGTTTTCAAATATCTCATTAATTCAATTCGAACAGGTCAAGCAGGATATAACAGGTTTTTATATAAAATAAATTTTAATTTTTAAAAATAGATGTATATGTATTCTTTGTTTTTCTTATAAATTATTCGGTTATTGTTAGGGTATAATGTAAGTATATTCTGTATATTGAAATTTTCAATAAAATGGGTACGTATAATAGTGTCTTTAATTTTTGTCGAACGAATAATATAGTGTACTTTTCAGTACTTAAGTTAGTGTATTATAAAATGGGGGGGTTGTTATTATGAATTTATTATATTTATTATTGACAATTATTAATTATTAAATTCAAATTGATCTATCATTTATTAATAAACGATACTGAATTTTCATGTGATTCTAATGTCGATTAATGACCTCACGTTTCTGTCCCAATGTCCCATGAAAGCTTTTATGTTTCGGAGTTTTTCGTCTTCTTTTATTCTACATAATTTTTGATCTTCAGCGCACAACTTCAGCACTTGCTTAGTCATCAAAGAAACAAGTGGATCAAAGAAAAAAGTTTACATAGAGCCGACTTTATTATGCCTTTGTATTTTATTAAAAAAATACCATCTGCTTTAACAATCACAATCTATTTTACAAAACATTCACGTCGTAGTTCATGTAATTTACAATTTACATGAGGCATGTGAAAAGCAATGATGAGATTACAACTTTCGCACATTTTTTCAACAAGTTTGCTCCTAAAAAAAGATCTTTGATATGATCACTCATTCAATAATTCGTATCGGAAATCTCTATTTTATACAACTTTTTTATATATTTATTACATGAATTAATTAATTATATTTAGAAAAATTATTCTAGTTGATTTATTATATAAAACCAACGCACATTGTTTTGTTGTTAATCAACAGATTACACAGAATTTTAAAAAAAAAACCAAAATAAGGAGAATTACTTTATCCAATTGAAGAAATACCCCACATAGATCAGAGCAATAAATAAATAATTAGATAACGGATAAGATCATAGTCAAGAAAGAGACGATCATTATTATCAATATTTTTGATAATTTCTGATAATCTTTCATTTTTTTTTTATAAAACCTCGAATAATTTCATCAGAATGTCTATAAAGCGTCTTGATCAAATCGAAAAACACTTATCTACTATGGCTTGTAATTATATCATTATATATAATATGTTCATTATATTAAAATAAATCATAATTTTTTTTTTCTTTTTTTTAAAAAAAATAGCAACGAATTCACTTTTTCATGAAGTTCCCCTTGCTCCTCCAGACGTTATTTTCAACCTTACTGCCAAGTATAAGGCAGATACTTTTGCTCAAAAAGTTAACTTGGGTGTAGGAGCGTATCGTGACGATGCAGGAAAACCCTGGGTGTTACCTGTTGTTAAAAAGGTGGTGTATAAAATTTTGATATTATCGATAAATAAAATTTCACTCCAAAGCGTCACTTGTAACTTCTAACATATAAAAATAAAAAACGCATCCAAATTATTACTTATTAAAAGGTTGAACAAGCCTTGGTAAATGATCCTTCACGAGATCATGAATATCTCCCTATATTGGGTCTTGCAACTTTCAGAGAAGCATCAATTAGATTAATACTTGGCGCAGATAGTCCCGCTATCAAAGAAAATAGAGTAAGAACATTTTTATCAATAAAAGTTTATCTAATTTCGAATTTATTAATTAAGTGTACAACGTTTTAATAGGTTACAGCTGCTCAGACGATATCTGGTACGGGAGCTAATCATCTTGGTGCTCTCTTTTTGTCAAGATTTTATTCTAAAGAAGTTCCTATTTACTTGTCTAATCCAACTTGGGGTAAGTTATTATATTATATATTTTTTTAATTACAAATGGTATCTTACAAGGAAATATTATTAATCAATTAAGCCTTAAATCTTTAGCAAATCACAAGCCAATCTTTAATAATGTCGGTTTGGAGACAAGAAATTACGCTTATTTTAACCCAAAAGATAATGGTTTGGATATTGATGGGTTTCTATCAGACCTTAAGGTAATAATAATTGATTATTTATTTATTTTTCTTTAATTAGTATCTTTTTCGATAGAAATATTAATAGTATTCAAATATTATAGGCTGCGCCTGAAAGATCAATTGTTCTATTACATGCTTGTGCTCATAATCCAACCGGCGTTGACCCTACACAAGATCAATGGAAAGCAATTGCTGATGTTATCGAGGTGAGCTATTATTATCATCTTTCAAAAAATTTCATACATTTTTTTTTCTTTTGACATTAACACGAAATTATTATTACTTTAATATAGTCAAAGAAACTTTTCCCATTTTTTGATTGTGCATATCAAGGATTTGCTAGTGGAGATTTAGATCGTGATGCTTGGGCTGTGCGATACTTTGTTGAACGCGGTTTCGAATTGCTTATCTGTCAATCTTATGCGAAAAACTTTGGTTTATATGGTTTGTATATTCTTTTTTATTTAATCTTAATGAAAATTTCTCTCTTTTACCATTAATTGATTTTTAATTTTTGTAGGACAACGTGCTGGTTGCTTAACTTTCGTGTTAAAAAATTCTGACGCTGCCGCTCGCGTAAGTAGTCAACTCGCCAAATTGCAACGTTCTGAAATCTCCAACCCCCCAGCACATGGCGCTCGTATAGTTGATAGGGTATTAAATAACCCCGAACTTTATGCTGAATGGTAAGCCATTTTAAGTACTGCAATAATTAAATTTTTCATGACCTTTATTGATCGATAACAAAATTTAAAATTAGGGTTGAAAATCTCCGAGAAATGAGTTCTCGTATTAAAAATATGCGTGATGCTTTACGTGATTGTCTTATCAAATCTAATACCCCGGGAAATTGGGATCATATTACAAACCAAATTGGAATGTTTTCTTTTACTGGACTTAAAGGTAAATAATGTATTGAATGTCATTTGTACAATAACTTAATTTTTTTTTTTCTCATTTGATCTTTATCGTTCATTTTACGATATTTTAATTAAATAGCTCCACAGGTCGCGGTTCTTAAAGAGAAATTTCATATTTATCTTACAGATAATGGACGTATTTCGATGGCTGGATTATCCACATCAAATGTGGAATACGTTGCAAATTCTATAAATCATGTTGTAAATAATGTAGCTTAAAATGCTGGATGAATTCTTTATTACTATTTCCGAATTACTAGATTACTTTTCTTGCGCGATTATTTGTAGTCTAATTTTTTTTTTTTTATTTAAGTAAAAAATTATTTAATTACACAAAATAAAGTAATACATTGAATCGATTATATCTTTATGCATTATCTGACCTTATTGTTTATATGATTGTTTGTTTATTTATTATGTTAATCTAGACAGTAATTTTTTTATTATCTGACAGATTTCTTATCAGATTGTTAATGCATGATTAATTGCATATCATGCACTATCAACCCTTTATAAAGATAATATATATCGTAACCGAAAATATCAAATTTGATAATCATCATAAAAAATATGCATAGTTTATTCGGAAAATTTTATTAAAGATAAGATTATCTTTTTATTCATATATTAGTTAAATTTTATTATCATTCGGTAAAAATTACTTGTCGATAAGAAGAAAAAAAAAAACCATTCGATAACAATTGTGCAGTAAATTATCAATCTAATTTAAATTTTTTTTTTTTTTTAAAAAAAAAAAAGATTAGATTGTCCCAATTAAAACTAAAAATATATATACATGTATATAATATATCTTTAAAATGATAAAATAATATTATATACATAAATACAAGTTTGTATGTTCTTACCAACGTTCTCTCTTCATTATAATAACTTTTTTTGTTGCCTATCCATCTTTGGATCTTTTGTAAAAAAAAAAAAAAAAAAGAAATGTAATAATAATAATAATACTAAATCAACTTCATCTCCGTTCATCCCTATCTCTGCTATAATGTCTCCGCCTAATTGTTTCACCATCTTTAGATCTACTATTACGATGACGATTACTATGATGACGTGAAGAATGATGTTTTTTATGTTTTCGATTTCCACTTCGATGATAATCATCTTTGGGGTAAGGATTATGACGAGATTTGGAGGTTGAATTTCTATCATTGTCTTCTTTATCTAATGACTCGTGTCGATGATGTGATGATCTGTGATATTTATTACTTCGATGTTTGTGGGATGAAGAATGTCGACGTTTATCTAGAAATTTGTCAGGTGAAGGAGGTGTAGTAGGCCTATCATCCTTTGTTGAAGAAACCTCTAGATCATCATCATCATCTACCAATAACGTATCTTCATCGTTAGTTGAAACATCAATAACATTATCAACTTCATCATCATCATCGGGTACCTGAAATTCTTCAGTATCTATTATGGGTTTTGGTGAGTCCGATCGGGATTGTCTTTCATTATCTTCATAGTTTTGTTGTACTATCGTCGGTTCTGATTGATCATTTTTCTCATGCATTTCCACGTCAAAGTCATCACGTGGACTTTGATACAAGTTTTCGCCATTTTCATTATCGTTTTCATAATTCATCATATTATTGGGCGAAGGGGTTCGAGCTTTTTCCTGATCATCATAACGTTCGTTAGATAAACCTTGATTACGTATTTCGTCTTTTCTTTCATCTATCGAAATACGTCTGTCTTTTCGGTCACCAATTGATTCACGTCTACTTTCATAACGTGAACTATTGTATGAATCACGACGGTCATCACGTCTATTGTCTCTATCTCTATCGCTTCTCCTGTCCGAAATTGATTCACGCCTTTCATCTCTCCTATCGGGTATGGAATATCGTCGATCATCATAGTATCGTCGATCATCCGAAACGCGTCGTTCATCACCATATCTTCGATCCTCTTTTCTTTCCATAAATCCGTCACGACTACGTCTAGACGATGTCGAATTCTTTCTTCGATCATCGAACAGTATACGATGATCATGCTTCGATGGTGATCGGCTACGATGTAATTCATCGCGAGGTTTTCGGGTACGATGACGCGACCTACTGCTGCTTCGTCTCTCTTTGCTTCTACTTCTGCTATGACTTCTTGCCTTTTCTCGTCTTCTACTATCCAAATCTTCATCTGCAATAATGTCCCTATCGCGTCTATCACGATCAGGTAAAAGAGGAGGAGTTAGCTTTTCACGACTATCCTTATCTGGTGACGTTAACGATTTTCGACGTGCCAAATCACGTCCAAAATCGTCCACTTCTTCATACTTTTGTTCGCCTTCCCGGTATTCTGGCCTTTCGGACCTAAAAGAATTCGATACAAGGAATATTAATTTTTACTTTTTGATGATTTTCAAGGTTGTATAATCAACTTATACTCACGCTTCTCTCCTACCCACCGAAGGGCTCATGCTTGATTCTCTTCTAAAATCATTACTACTACTTCCGTGTCCGCTATTAAATGGTCGCTGCTCGTAGAAATAACTTGTACTTCTTCCACGGCCTCCACCTCCACCTCCTCGGCCACGGTTTTGAAAATTACCCCCACGTTGCGCAAATCCGCCACGAAAACCTCCACCTCTGAAAGGTTGTATAGCAGTACCGCCCATACCACCTCCCACGTTATTCCCAAATGGGGTGAAATTACCTTGTGGTGGAATCATTGGCCTATTATCCCAAAAATCATCATAAACTGGTGGTCTAAAGGGTGGCATGAATTGTTGTGGTGCCGGGAAATGATCTGCAGGGTAAAATCCGGATTCAAAATATGATGGATCGTAATAACCTCCCGGCGCATTCATCATATTCATACTCATCTGAGGATATCCGGCTGTGAAGATAAATGTGAATAAGACGTGTTAAAATCTCATTTTTTTAAAAAAAAAATAATGTTAATTGTGTAAATCATTTTGATGAACTTACCATCATCATACCAGTATCCTTGATCATAACCAAATCCGTAATCATTGTAATATCCAAATTGTCCGTACGTTGCTTGTTGGGCGGCCGAAGGATTTTGCTGTGGAAACGTTTTTCCGTTGGCATTCGAAAATTGATGCTGCTGACGTTGTAATTGCTGTTGTGATTGTTGAAACTGTGATGATTGTTGAGATTGTTGAGATGGCACTTGTGGTAACTGAGATTGCTGTGAGAGAGTTGATTGTTGCGGTGGAGGTATTTGCGGAAGTTCATGAATTGGTTTTTTGGGCAATTCGACTTTAGCAACAACCTATGAATGGAAAATCAACATAAAATTTTTTAAAAAAGAAAAAATTACAAACGATGATGTAATAGAGTAATGAAAAAAAAAAAAAGGTACCGGCTCAGTCTTCACTTTTGGAGGTTGTTCATGATCTATGAGATCCGTTGTTATTGGTTGTTGATCCTTTTCCATTACTAAAGTATCAGACGATGTTGAAGCTTCTATCGTATCCTCGTCAACAACCACATTATCCATATCAATATCATTGTTATTAACAACTTCCTCTTCACTATTACCCTCAGGTACAATCTGTTCATTTCTACGTCTTGCCCAATCTCTTAAATGATTGTTCACGGCTTCTCTAGTTGCTTTGTCAGGTAATAAGCCATCAGGTGATAATTGAGTTTGACAATTTGGACACTTGAACTGCTGATCTTCTTGTTCGGTACTGATTAATGCGTTTCGAATACCTGTGTAAATTATTTCATCAACCCAAGTTTATACCATCAACCAACAAATATTTTTTTTTTTTTTTTTTTTTTTTTTTTTATGTTTTATAATAATAAGAAGAGAAAAAGAAAGAAATAAGCAATCATGTTAGTAACGATAACTGACTGAATAATTTAGGGAGGAGAAATTTGACTAGAAAAGCTGTAATATGTGTTAGTTTTTTTTTTTTTTGTTCTTTTAGTTTTTTTTTTTTTTTTTGGAAAAAAAAAAAAGAAAGAGGGAATAAAATAAGAATAAAAAGAATAGTAAACAAAAAAAGAAAAAGAAAAACAAAAAGGTAGAATTGTCTCCACACACTTGAATCTATTTGATTCGCAATATTTCCCTCATTTGTCATGAACTTTTAGTAATACCAAATTTTTGGTAAATCAAAATCACTCAATAAATGATGTAGGAATCAATTTTCTTATTGCCATCCTTAAGACCACCAATTTGTCTTGGATCATCAATTCCAATTCCATATATTTTCTATCTAGAGGAATATTTGTAATATCCATACTCCACAGGAAGAAAATTTTAAAAAAAAAAAAAAAAATTTGCACACAAGTTCACTAGACTAGAACTCGAGATTAATTTTGTTTTTAAACCTCGAGAAAATAACGAAGGGATTATATTTATTGTGCAACAAACAGATTGCGAGCAAAACCATAAAAATAACACAAGAGGCAAAATCTTAAAATAAATAAATTGTAACAATATATCTAGCCTAACCTGACTAATTAATCTATAAAATTCATAACAAAAATCTAAAATTTGTTGTCTCTGCAAACAACAATAACGATACGTACATTCATCACAAAATGAGGCCTGACAACACGGCGTTATAACCGCTTCTCTAAGAAGTCGGGCACATATCATGCATTGGAGTTCGGGAGGCACCGGAAGCGTTTCTTCAAGTACTTCATTAGTAGTCACATATGATTTTTGACGAGCATGAAATTTTTTGCCAAGCAGCCCTTTATTAAAAGAAAGGAAGGATAATAATTTGAGTATAAATGTGGTTTTTCTCTTGAGGAAAAAAAAATAAAATAAAATTCCGAAAACTTACTCATTTGCTTGCGCAATAACCAAATTCCCATCCTGTGTGACAAGTACTCCTTTACCTCCGGGAGGCACTTGTTCAACTTTTTGCAAGAAACTCCTAGGTATTCCCGTCGTCTTTCTAACTTTCATGTGATCGAACGATCTATCACCATTTGTCGGACATGCTTGGATCCAATGTCCTATAAATTCAGTTAATGTAGATAACAATTCAACAATTTAGAATCTTGCCGGACAAAAAACCAAATGATAGCCATCGAATATAATAAAAATTTGATGAGATATACCTTTTTGCCCGCATCTATAACAGACATAATTTGGTGGAAGAGCCTTTTGAATTTGTTGCTTCACTTGAGGACGAGGTTGATTTGGCCTTCGAAGTGCCGGTTTTCTTTTCAAAAAAAGAAGGAAAGAAAGAAAAAAGAAAGATGAAAATTAATTTTTAAAATATATATTTATTTATTTATTATCAGTAATAATATTATGCTTTGTAATACTCACGAAGCCATCTGTTCCTGTGTTTTTTCCCAAAATTCTGATGATTGTGCAAACATAGCTGCAATTTTATCTTCTTCCGTTTGTTCTTCACCAGAGCTGAGAGTTATGGTCGGAATAGGGGAAGGTCGTGAAACCTGCATTTGTTGTTGTTGCTTGGACGAGTCGAAAGTCTTTGACATTGATCTAAAATACATCCCATTTAGATAATCAATATTTTATTGATATATAATTAATTTACAAATGAAATTTACCCATTAGTATTTCCATAATTAATTCGATTTCCGGCCGCTGCATTGCGTGAGACTGCTGGCACTCCCTCTAAATAACGGTGCGCAGTCCCTTTCCCAGGCTTAGTGGGTACTCGCCGAACCACTATAGGTGTATTTCTAGGTATTATTGCAGTGTCTTCTTGGTAATCTATAAGGGCAAGAATTTATATAATATATTATTTTTAGATATACAAGGCGATTGGACTTGAAAATAAGAATTTCCTTCGCTGCAATAAAAATACAAACAAATACCTTCTCCAGATTCAGCATGGGTAACCACAATATCAAAGTCATTTCCTTTCAATTTTTTTGCAGTTAAAATTTCCTTTTTTGCATCGAAAACAGAGATCCCGAGACCGTCGAAAGTAATATTGTCATAATCTTTGGCACTTTTGAACTTGTAATATATTTGAGAAGTCATTTTTTTTTTTTTTATTTAATCTACACACTTACAAAGCCATACTCAAGTATATTATATGGGGGCATGCGATATCACGTTATAAGATGATCGGCATAACATCATGTATACGTAATATAAATCACGTGACATTTAGTTTCAGATGGGTAATTGAATACTATAATCATTTTATTGATGACGCGATACTCATTAGTTTAAAAAAAGTGAAATAATTCTCAGGAAAATCAGGCTCTGGAAAAATTTTTTAAATTTAGTTTTTTTGATGTTATTTAGATCAAAAAATAATGTCTTCAAAAAATTCTCAGAGCCTGAACTTCCCAAATAAAGATCGATTGGCTAAAATGTTTTTGACAATCAGTTCCAAATAATGAAATCTGAATTAACCAATCCAGGAACGTATATAACTGCGTAAGAAGAAACCCGAATGATAATTAACATACCAGTAGCTTATTCAAGATCTTTAAAAGAATAATTTAATACTCAACAAAAAGGTGGACAATCGGAAAAATTACTCAAATAAAATAAATAAATAAATAAATAAATACCAAATGTGATCCAATCAAACCTCCATTCATGTTTATTTATAATTGGTTAAAGAAATATTCAGAGGTAAATTATAAGTACCAAAGAAAAGGTTTTTCTCTCGATATGCTGTATTTAGCACTTAAACCTAAGAATTTGACAAGTCTCTTTCGTATACTATAGCAACATTATCTAATAAATTCATATGATTAATATGCTCACCCGATCAAATTAAAATCAGCTTGATTTCACATGCTTTTCAAAAAGCGGTAAATATAATAATTGATAATAAAGTTTCGTAAATATTAAAATAAAGTCTTCATTTGCTTTATTAGTAAATATTGGAAATAATTATTCCTCAATGTTAAATACCTATGTAATTGTTTAAAAATCACATTATGAAATTAAATCGACTAATTATACGATGTCTGAAATATATGGGTTGATTGCTAGGAAAATCAGGTTCCGGGAATTTTTTAGCAAAATTGAGATTTTTATTGCATTTTAGTTTTTGATGTTATTAGATTAAAATGTATTAAGCTCTTAATTTTAGTCAAAAATTTCTCGGAACCTGATTTTCCTAGAAACACTCCCATATGAGACCTTTGTAGTAGAAAGTGAACAAACATATCTCTATTTGACATATAAAAGTAAAATTGATTTTTTCCTTTCTATTGCAAAGGTCCCATATGATATAATCATTTTGACAAATCTTCATAAAACCAATCTCACTCACAATCGATCCATTAGGTTCTCATCATCGCGATAGGATCCACTCCTAAGGGATTATCTAGAATGAAATCTAAAGTTAATGAAGCACCTTTTGGCTCCTCATTATCAGATGGAATTGTTTCGTAAGGTTTATACAGCAGAGTCAACAAGTATCAAAGAATTTACTTAAAAAGTTTATTTCATAAAATTTCCAATTCTTTGCTACGATAAACGCTCCAATATATTCGGAAAATGTTTATATCATGGCTGTCTCACGTGTTTTATTTATTTTTAAATAATATCTATTGTAAATGATGATTTCTTTTTTATTTCGTTTCAAGAAAATTTTGAATATAAAATATAAATATATCGTCAAATGAAGAAGTGATTACCTTCACCATGGCAGATGTAATTAAGGATTAGAAAAATAAAAAAAAAAATCTAATAATGCGTCAAAATAATTTGATATGTTATTTATGCAAATAGCCAGAACATATTAAAAGGAATTGTCCTAATGGCTTCAATATAATCAGACGTCTCAAAAAAAAATCCTGATTGTTTACTCACTATCCCCCTTAATCGCTATTTTATTCTCCAGAAACTAAACTCCTACTTTTTCTACCTTCATCCCCTTCACTATCGCTAGCATTTATTCATCCCCTTCACTATCATTCATATTATCTTCGTCTTTATTTCCTTCACCACCACCAGCATTGTCTTCGTATTTATTTTTCTCCTTGATTTTATATGGCTCCTGAAAGAACAGGAGAAAAGCAAACTCCACTATATTTTTCTTAGAGATTCTTTATACCTAGCTCTTGTCTAATCAGAAGTATTTACAGGAACTATTTCTTCATTAGATGCAAATTGACACAATTAAATTCCTATTTTCTTATTTATTTGCATTTGATGCTTGGTTAAATACAGCATCATCATAATCTCACAAAACATATGCAACTATTATAGGCTTAATTAGTACATACTGATTAAAAATTATATAATCAATTACTTACTATCAAAGATCTCACTAGAGATTCCAGATGACTACTTTTCATTTGAATTGTCTAGGTTCTTAAAATTTGTATACTAATATCCTAATATTTATAATAATTAATTTTTTTTTTAATATTTAAGACTTAAATAACTTAAAAGAATACAGCTGCCTAAATTATTAAAATAATTATATAATAATCCTCCTATAAAATGAAAAAAATTGTTAAATTGTCTTTAAAATTAAAAAAGAAAAAGCAAGTTTATTGTATCAATAATGAACTGGAATCATCATAAAAAAATTCTGAAATTGATGATAATTTAGTATTAGAAGAGATAATATAAAAGACGTCAGAATATATTTTAAATTTATGTTTAAATATTTTAAAATTTTAGCTGATTTTTTTCTGCTTTCATATTTAGGCTAAAATGAAAGCAGTTTTAAAATCATTAACACAAAAGATAATTTAAACTATGATGAATTTTCAATAGTGAGAAAAATACTAAAAAATATTGTAGTTAACTTTAAATAAAAAGCTTTAGTTTTGAATTATTAGCCTTTGTTGATTAATTAATAAACTAACTAACATCTTTTTATAAATCATATCAATTAGTTCAAAAAATAAGAAAAGAAAAAAGAGCTATTTAGAATAGTAATGAATATATGATAATTATCAAATACATAATATAAATAAATAAATAAATTTTAAATTTAGGTTTATTAGAATTTTTAATTAATATTATTTATTATTTATTAAAAAAATTCAGTAAGTGAAATTATAAAATATTTATTCATAAAAAATGATAAATGAATTGTGAAATATTATCAATAACTTTTATTCTAAATACTTAAAGATAATTAATACCATTCATCTAAAATTAATAAAATAAAAAAAAATCATAAAGAATCTATTTTTATTATATATGATTATTTATAATGATTATATAATATATAGAGCTATCAAAAGTCTTCAAACACCATTTTTTAGGTGTGATTTTATACTTTTAATATCATGTGACTTAATAATATTATGGTTATATAATATTTTATTTAAACTTTATTTACATGAATTAAACCTAATAAATGTGTGTTCAGTTTGTTTATTTTGATTTTGAATCAAAATAAACTTTATTCTAAAAAAATACCTAAAACATATCTAAAGAATTAATTGCAAAATAATATAATGCTATATTTTTTTACCGTCAATGTAATAATAGTTATTAAACTATTGCTATAATAGTCAGATATTGTAACAGGATTGGATTGATGAACGTGACGCAGTATATTGCAGATCTAAATGTTAGATATATCGGACATATTTGATATATTTGATATATTTGATATACTGGACATATTTGATATAATTGATATCTTGGACATATC